TTCCACCAGGGAACGGCCTGAGTGGTTATAGCAGGTCAATAAATATTTCATATCTCGTCTGAGCAGCAGGACGACGCAGAGCGCAGAGTCCTGATGGAGGTGTGAAATATGTGACACAGAGGACGTTTACAATATGATATCTAGAATGTAACGCTGATGATGAAATGCACTGAAGTGTGTATATAACATTGGGGTTGATGTAAAAGCTAATGAAACTCCCTCTGCACTAAAACATATACTGTATAACACACTACAGGAAAGGGAACACCAATAAAAACATTGTCATTAATCCAAAGGAGTCACTTCCTGGGAGCGGTTGTAATGAATGATCTCAGTAACCGAGACAACAGCAGCCTCTTCGCTCCGGCTGCTTCCTCCTCTTCCTCTTCCTCCCCGGGGCCTGCGGCAGCGCTGTGAGCCGCGACACACCCGAGGAAGTCTTAAAGTGGGACACACAACATCTGGCTCGGATGATTGATCACGTCACAAGCGGGCAAAGTTAACCGGCTGAAGACGGCGGGAGAAGAAAAATTCTCATAAATGATTCGAGGGGCGTCATTAAAGATGCAGAGTCAGCGCGCAGACAGCGTTCAGCACTCCGGAGAGGGAGGCTTCACTGTTAGTGTGCGGATGAAATGTAGTTTAAACAGGCAGGCTTTTATTTAAAAAATCTCTCTATGAATACATTTGATGCGTAGGAAGCCTAAAAGGGAAGGTGATACATGTAACATGTATTACCTCACATGGATCCTCTTTTTCATTGCCTCTTAAGGTTTTCTTTGTTTTATTGTGAAATATCCTCAAACATGCGGATACATGTGTTATTTAGGAGATATTTTATGCTTGAGCTGAGTGTGTTTCTCCAGTAATAGTCACTTTGCTCTCGGTGGTATCAGTGTGTGTTTGTTTGCTTTCTGCCGGCGTGACTTCACACATCTGCGGGTGCAAAAAGCAGAGGAGTGGAAATGGACAACACTGTGTGTGTGTGTGTGTGTGTGTGTCAGTGACAGCACCTGAAAGCCTCATCTCTGAGGTCCCATGATGCATCTCAGTGTGGATTTTACCTGATCAGCTTTTCCTCTGGACACACACACTTTTTTNATTGAGTCTGAAAAAAAGACTAAGAGTGACTAGCTTACCGTTTGCGCGGCGGCGGTAGCCTTCCCGGAGGCGGCGAGCACGCCACGAAGACCGCAGCCAAGAAGCTGACGCCCAGCTGAGACTACCGTCCCTCCCACACGACGCACCCCCGTTGGGACGCACAGGAAGGGAGGAGCCCCGCCGGCTATACTTCGCACTGGTTCTGCTTGGCAGACTGAAGTCCCAGGGTGGTGCCCAGGGCGTCGCCCCACCTCCAAGGCTCGACCTTGGAGGGGTGGGAGGCGGCGCCGACGCGGGCCGTTTGTGACAACAAAGGAGCTTGGGAGGTGTGACAACGTATCGCCGGAAGGAGCCGACCCGTAGTCGTTACCGGAACGAGGCCCGTGGCCAAGGGGGCCCTGGTCACACAGCCATCAAGTTTACTTATCCCAGCTGGGTGATTAAAATTCATCCATAGAAAAGGGGTGAAAATGAAAAAAAGTATCCGAAAATAGGGCCTCATAATGCGGGTAGAGTCCCCTGTCGACTCCCCTTGCATTCCTCCAGACTCAGAAAAAGTCTAAGTTTACTTTTTGGAGATCCATAGAAAAGGGGTGAAAATGAAAAAAAGTATCCGAAAATAGTGCCTCATAATGCGGGTAGAGTCCCCTGCCGACTCCCCTTACATGCCTTAGGTGGTGCGTGTCGCCATATAGACGCGACGTCCAAATGAAATACAACGGCCGCATGCGAGATGGGCAGAAATAAATCCAGCCTAACCGCTTTTGCCAGGGCACGCTAAAAATGATCCAGGGTGATGCACATGGCTTTTCACCCGCAGCAGCAGGCAGAGCGCAGCAGCAGCAGTCCCTCTTTCACCAAAAAAATTTACCTTTTTTGCTTTTGATAAAAATTTTGTTAAATTTTTTCTTGTTTCAGTAAACTCACGCTCGAAGAGTAAACCAGGGTGTCTGCCCGCGTAGAGGTCCCTCCTACGTCGTGGTCACGTATTGTCATTTTTTATGTTGGTTTTTTTTGCCCGGTTTAGTTCAAAAAGGTGCAATAACTTTTGCGGCGCCAAATAGACGGAAATTTCGACCTGACGTTAATATTGTAATAATGGCATCCCATACTTCCCCCGATGTCAGGCGGTGGTGTGTGTTCCCCGATCGTCGCTTGTGAAAGGGGCGGAAAGTCTCTGAATAACGACCCATTTTTTTCGGTCCGACGTGGCGAGGACCTAAGAGTCTACACACACAACGGACCTCAGACTCCGGGACTGTCGGTCGCCGGATGACGACACAAATGGAAGGCAGGTAAAGAACGAAACCAGCTTACAATTTGATTTACCTGTCTGAAGGCAAGGCAACTTATGTTGGTCAAATTTACGGTGCACACACAAATATGTGAGTCGTGAGAACGATGGTATAGTCTTAGCGAGGGGAAAGGACCGATAACATCACACTATACTTCGTCGGCACAGGGACACGAGATGCTCTACACGCGGTCCGAGCACCTCCAAGAAGGGGAACAGACGGACTGCAAGGCACAGCGACGACGCCGCCCATTCGGGGAGTCAAGAGTTCGCGGATCAAAAGGGAGGCGGACAAGTACTCGATAACGGAGCGCCGAGTCTTTCGCACACCTTAGTGGGACGCTAGAGTATCGTACAACACACAACGAGCACGCTAAGAACTCTTGCTGTCGTTCGCTGAGACGACACTCGAGACTCCCGAGAGCGAGCGCGGACTGCAGGCACCGATCCGAGGAGGGCGGCGACGCGGCGGAGAGCAGATGGGGGAGACGAAGAGTCGGTGAAACAGCGGGGAGTAAGTCCTTCTTGGATAACAACCCGTCGCTTTCGGCACACTGTCCAGTAGAGCGGGACAACTAGAAGAACGTACGATCACCGACCACGGCATCACTAAGACCTCGCGGAGGGTTGGCGTTCGCTGAGACGACAAAATTCGAGCTGCGTAACAGAGGCTTAAAAGCACTCAGTTTACATTGTTTTTACCTGCACTACAGTAGCGTATAACGCGATTAAGTTTTACGAATTGCTTTTGCCTGTCGAGGCACGTGTAGTGCCCGACAGCCGTAATTTTGTCAAATTACGTGAAAAATAGGTGTAGTGCTATGGATTATGCACGATGGAACTGGAGATAGAGTAAATTGAATAATGTGACGGACAAGTCTCTGAAACTGACCGACACATCTTTTCGGCTCTACACGTGTGGGACCTTAGAGGCTCGTGTTACGAGACAACCGCGTACCACTCAGACTCGCGGGACCGCTTCCTCGTGCGGAACTGAATCCCCCCCCCCCCGCCCGACGTCAT